ATCTAAGATGCAGCTATTGGTCTCCTAGCATCTGAAGAAGAGTGAAGAAAATCAAAGGCATCTGGAAACAATTAGTTCAAGGATAAGATGGACCTCAAGGACCTCAGCCTTCATGACTCTGAGACCAGAAGAACTAGTTGGTGCCCAGCCACCAATGCCAACCACTTGGAAAGGGATCAAAACTGGAGATTCTGGATAGAGTAGAATGAAAGATATAGAACAAAATTCAAAAACACAAAAGTGACCAAAATTACTGGTCAGATAGAGACTAATGGGACCCATGAGACTATGGACCCAGGTTACCCTTCAGGCCCAGAAATTGACTCTTTTCCATGGATTGGCTCTCAGCCCAACAGTAGAAAGATTTACATGCAGAACACATACTCCAGGGCGATGCACCTACCTACTCTAGGGAGATGCACCCCTTAAATCAATCAGCCATGAGACACCAGAGGGGCAGTATTCACACAGAGAGAAAGCTGGACAGACAGGAATGCACAGTTAAGAAGAGCACAGGGAGGGGTAGTCACAGGGAGAGGGTAGTGACAAGAAGGGGAGGGGAGGGGAGTATTTTATGGTTGGGGATGGCAATCAGGTTATGAAATCAAATACACATGAACCATTGAATGTAAAACAAATTTGCTGTGTAAATTTGCACCCAAAACACAAGAAAGAAAGAAAGAAACAGCTACAAACATACATTCATAATTAGAACATGGAATGTGCTTAGTAGGACTCTAGGAAAATTGGAAGGTGTAAAAAATGAAATGGAAAACATAAAGATTCATATGCCAGGCACTAATGAGCTGAAATGGACTGCTATTGGTCATTTTGAATTGGACAATCATATGGTCTACTACGCCGGGAAAGACAAATTGAAAAGGAATGGTGTCACATTCATTGTCAAAAAAGAACATTTCAAGATCTATCCTAATGTACAATGCTATCAGTGACAGGATAAGATCTATGTCTGGCAGTGTTTGTTCTGTCGTACATAGGGTCGGTATGAGTCGGAGCCTACTCAACAGTACCTACAACAACAAACAAGGAAGAACTGTTAATTTGACCATTATTTTTTATTATTTAATGTTATTATTTTTGTACTGACCACTAATGCCAAAAATGAAGAAATTAAAGATTGTTACCAACTTCTGCAGTCTGAAATTGATCAAACATGCAATCAAGATGCCTTGATAATTACTGATGACTGGAATGTCAAAGTTGAAAACAAAGTAGGATCAATAGTTAGAAAATATGACCTTGGTAAGAGAAATAATGCCAGAGATAACATGATAGAATTCTGTAAGACTAACAACCCATTCATCACAAATACCTTTTCTCAAGCGTAAAAATGGTGACTATATACATAGACTTCACTGGATGGAATACACAGAGATCAAATCAACTGCATCTATGGAAAGAAACAATGGAGAAGTTCATTATCATTAATCAGAACAGGCCATTAATTACTTATATTTAAGTTCAAGTTGAAGCTGAAGAAAATTAAAACAAGTCCATGATCGCCAAAGCACAACCTTGAGTATGTTGTTGCTGTTAGGTGCCACCGAGTCAGTTCCAAATCATAGTGACTTTATGAACAACAGAATGAAACACTGCCTACTCATGCTCACAATCATCGATCATCATGCTTGAGCGCATCATCGCAGCCACTGGGTCAATCCATCTCATCGAGGGTCTTCCTCTTTTTTGCTTACCCTCCACTTTACCAAGCATGATATCCTTCTCCTGGGACTGGTACCTTCTGACAACACAACCAAAGTATAAGAGATGAAGTCTGGCCATTCTCACTTCTAAGGAGCATTCCAGAGGTACTTTCTCCAAGACAGATTTGTTCTTTCTTCTAGCAGTCCAAGGTACATGTATAAATCCATGTATTTATGCAGAATATTGAATGTACCTTGTGTATATCCCACTTGAATGTGGAGATCATCTGAAGAACAGATGTGACACATGGAATACTAGCGACTGAAGACCAGACAGATGTGACACATGGAATACTAGTGACCGAAGGCCAGACAGACTATGTGATTATATCAAGGACATCATGCATGAAGAAAGCAAAAGGTCATTAAAGAGACAGGAAGGAAACAAAAGATCGAAAAACATGTCAGAAGAGACTCTGAAATTCACTCTTGAAAGTAAAGCAGCTAAAGCAAAAGGAAGAAATGAGGAAGTGGAAAGCTGAACAGAAGATTTCAAAGAGCAGCCCAAGAAGGCAAAGTGTTAAGTATTATGATGAAATTTGCAAAGGCCTGGAGTTAGAAAACCAAAAAGGAAGAACACTTTCAGCATTTCTCAAGCTGCAAGAACTGAATAAAAGATTCAAGTCTCGAGCTGCAATATTGGAGGATTCTATGGGCAAAAAAGGAAGTGTCAAAAGAAGATGGAAGAAATACATAGAGTCACTATAACAAAAAGATCGACCAATGTTCAATCATCTAAGGAGGTAGTATATGACCAAGAACTGATGGAACTGAAGGAAGAAGTCCACACTGCACAGAGGGCACTGGCAAAAAACAAAGCTCTAGGAACTGATGGAACACCAACCGAGATGTTCAACAAATGGGTGCAACACTGGAAGTGCATACTTGTCTATGCCAAGAAATTTGGAATATAGCTACCTGGTCAGCCAACTGGTTATTTGTGCTCATTTCAAAGAAAAGTGATCCAAAAGAACACAGAAATTATTGAACAATATCATTAATATCACATGCATGGAAAATTTTTCTTAAGATAATTCAGAAACAGTTGACAGGGAACTGGCATAAATTCAAGCTAGATTCAGAAGAGGACACTGAACAACATTGCTGATGACAGATGCACCTTGGCTGAAAGCAAAGGAAACCAGAAAGATGTTTACCTGTGTTTTATTTACTATGCAAAAGCATTCGACTGTGTGGATCATAACAAATCATGGATAACATTGTGAAGAATGGGAATTCCAGAACACCTAATTGTGCTTGAGAAACCTGTGCATAGACCAAGAGGCATTCAAACAGAACAAGGGGATAGTGCATTGTTTAAAAACAGGAAAGCTGTGCCTCAGGGTTGTATCCTTTCACCATACTTAGTCAATCTGTTTGCTGAGCAAATAATCCGGGAACCTGGGGTGTATGAAGGGCACAGCCTCAGCACTGGAGGAAGCATCAACAACCTGTGATATGCAGATGACACAAGGTTGCTTGCATTAAGTGAAGAGGACTACAAGTATTTCCTGAAAAAGATTAAAAACTACAGCCTTCAATACGGATTACACTTCAACATAAAACAAGAATCCTCACTACTGAACCAGTAAAGGAGCTGTAGGGATGCTGTGGTTAAGGCATTGGGCTGCTAACTAAAAGGCAGGTGGTTTGAACACACCAGCTGCTCCCGGGGAAGAAGATGAGGCACTCTATTTCCCTAAAGACTTACAGCCTTGGAAATCCATTGGGGGTCGTTATGAGTCAGAATTGACTGGATGGCAGCAATAAGCAACATCACAATAGAGAAAAGACTAAAGTTGTCAAGGATTTCATTTTACTTGGATCCATAATCAGCACCCATGGAAGCTGTTGTTGTTATGCGCTGTCGAGTGAGCTCCGACTCATAGCAACCCCTCCTTGGGTTTTCGAGGCAGTATCACTACGGAAGTAGATTGCCCAACTCCGAGGAGTGGCTGGTGGGTTTTTCAATCACCTCATATGCATGTGAAAGCTGGACAATGAATAAGGGAGACGGAAGAACTGATGCATTTGAATTATGGTATTGTCAAACCAACCTTCCTTCAGAGGAGTGGCTGGTGGGTTTGAACCGACTCCACGGACACAACAAGAAGTTCCTGGAAAAGGACATCATGCTTAGAAAAGATGAGGGTCAGCTAAGATGGATTGACATGTGGCTGTAACAATGGGCTCAAACCTAGAAACGACCGTGAGGATGGCCCAAGACTGGGCAGTTTCGTTTTGTTGTACATAGTAGGGTCGCTATAATCTTAGGAAGGACTCTACAGTACCTAACGACAATCACCAACCACTTTAAAATTCTAAACATACAGCGAGAGAGAGGGGCTGCCAGACAGACAAACTTTGTTTTCTGAAATCCCCCACGATTGCAGAGTAGGGCTGGAAGTCCAAGGCGGCTGTGCGCGCGGCTGTGGCAATCCGGCTGGTGCTGGGAAGCAGCACCCCTCGCGGGTTCGGGGCGTCCGGACTTTCCCTCGAGGCTCTGCCTTGTCGGAGCACGCCCCCACCACCACCCAATGCGGGAAACTCCGTGGGGCCAGACAGACACCCAAACCAGCGTCCGCACAGCGGAGCGCCTTACACCTCACTCCTCACCGGCCAGAGCTGTGGCCGAGGAGAGGATACGCTTCCAACCTGGTGTGCCAGGAGAGACTGAGATTGGGAGGAGCAGCTCGGTTGTTTTCCAACATCTCACTGACCATCTCTCCTGGCCGCCGCGCCCCCAAATCTTGCGCGCCGCAGGCGACAGCTCACCCAGGTGCGAAGGCGGTGGAGGTGCTCGAGCCGCGAGTTTCTACGGCGGCAAGAGGGTCCCGCGGCTCCTGAGTGGGCCGGTGCGACTTCCGTCAGGCGCCAGGGGCGGGGCCCTGGCTCGCCCGCCTCCTGGCCGGGCTATATTGTCGGGCTCCGCTGCTCGGCCGCCGGCGGGCGGAGATGCGCGCAGGGGCTGGGGTGAGGTTGAGGGCGCGCGGGGCTGGGCGCAGCTGCTGCGGCTGCCGGGCGGCGGCAGGCGGGAGACGGCGGGCAGAGGACAGGGAGGGGGCGGGCAGGACGAAGAGCTCTGGAGGCTGCAGTACTCCGGGTCACCGGTTGCATTGCCAACTCGCCCAGGTGTCTCTTCCAACTTTTACTGCCTTGGGAAGTAAGGGAGCATTAGGTATCAGGAGATCCCGGGACTTGAGTCCTAAGCCCGAACTGTGACGCTCCTCGCCATCTGTTCTCAGCTTGATTATTATTTTTATTCATCTCTAGAGCATGGACTTCGCACGCCTCTGGTTAGGGCTGCTGCTGCCTTTGGTAGCTGCTCTGGATTTCAACTACCACCACCAGGAAGCGATGGAAGCGTTTCTGAAGAATGTTGCCCAAAACTACACTTCTATCACTCACTTACACAGTATTGGGAAATCTGTGAAAGGTAGGGTTCGTCTCGTGCACACTTTCCCAAGTCCCCAGTCCTCCCTTCCATTCATTAAATACGCCTCAACTTCTTGTCCCCTCCCCATGAAGCTACTCTGAGCGGCTCCAGCAGGAAAACCAGTGCCTTGTGTGTTGGTTGGTTTCTGCTTTTATTTGTTGTTTCTTTTATTCTGGTTTGTCAGCAGAGTAGTAGGAAGATACTGAGTTTTAACATCTCCATTGTAATTCCTTGTCAGTGAGTCCTTTGCATTATTGGAGTGATGTCTATTTGGGGCTTGGAGATACTGATTATCTGGGATCTGTATTTTTAGTTCCTTTTCAAGATAAACTTCTAAGCCCATGTATGCATCGCAGATTTCTCTTTTCATTGCCTTCCTTAAGTATGACTCAGAAAATTAATATCATTTCTTCTAAAAGTTTCTTTTAAATTAAATAGTGCAGTTCTGTTGGTAAGATTTGGGTTGTGTATAATTAGCCCTATGGTTTAAAGCTTGGGCTGGGGGAAAGTGGCTCTAGGCTGATTAAAGACTCTTTTTAGATTTATTTGGAGAGGACATGTGCTGGATAATAAGAAATATACCTGAGACCCAGTGACTAGTACTGTTTTAGTATTTTCACATTTGTCATTTAATTGCTTTAATGTTTTGATTTAGAAAGTATATATATTAAGCAATTCTCATTTGTATAGACAGGGAATGTGAATCACAGAGAAATTAAATATTTTGCCCCACATCACCCCAGCTGGTGAGCTTTATAGTCAGGATTAGAACTCAGAACATTTTCCTTCTAGGCTTAGATGTTTTGAGGACAAGGCAAATACTCCTATCAGATAGTATTATTTCTTAATCCTCTTTTATTATATTTTATTATATTGATGTACCAAAGAAGTTACCGGAAAACTTAATGCTTAAAAGATTTACAAAGTTTATCTGATTTGGATCTCAACTCTTTGTAAAATGGTTCAAACACTACCTGGATTTTAGCTCTGAGTTTTTGAGCCAATGGGAGTCTCTTAATTACCATATTTTTAATCATTAAAAAAAATTAAGGTCATAGTTTTTATATTAAAGAAGAACTATTATCTAAATATATTTACATGCAATGCAAAAGAAAAATCCTGGTCTCTGTGTGTAATGGTACCTTCATTTTTAAATAACATTGCCTAAGAGTTGGTGCCAGAATTTCTCTATATTGCTCTATAATCCAAAATTATAGAGGTTGGATGTGTGAGAAAGCATGTGCTGAATCAGCATATGTATTCAACCTTTTGAAATAATTTTCCTGTAGGGCTAAAGTAGAGTAATTAAAAAAAGATCTAAGAATACTAATTACATTAATAAAGGAAATATGGAACACAACTAGCTTGAGTTATTGTTCAGTTATTCAAACCACAGGATAAAGAGGATGTTGTTAATTTTAAGTACTAAATGATTTGGTAGGAGCTCTGGTAGCATAGTGCCTAAGGCACTTGACTGCTAACCAGAAGGCTGGCAGTTCAAACCCACCAGCCACTCCTTGGAAGGAAGGTTGGGCAATCAACTTCTGTAGTGATATTGCCTCGGAAACCCAAGGAGGGGTCTCTATGAATTGTGGCCGACTCAACTGCACATAACAACAACAAATGATTTGGTCATTTTTTTGTTTTCAAGCACAAAGTGCTTGTGAAAGAAAGTTGGAATTCTCTTTCCTGTTAGAAACCAACTATTCTGATCTACCCACCATATCAGAAACCACATTAAGAAGGAAAGCCAACAGTTTTAATTTTTTAATGTGTGTTTTCTTGTGGCTGGTTGAAGGATTGCTGTGTTATCATGTAAAAATAAAATATGACACTAGTGGTTAAATGTCTGTATTGAGCACATATTGTTCTGAATAATTACTGAATTCATGAAAAATCCCAGATCTGCCATTGGGTTCCCAGTGGTAGTTTACACTGTATACTATTCACAGGGAGTCAGTTGCCAAAGTATCACTGCAGATTTGCATAATAGTGGAGAGTTAGTGTTCCTTTGTTAATGCTCATTTTCTGTAGGTGGGCAATTTTTCCCTAGCCATCTTGCCCTCTGGTGGCATAGTGCCTAAGTCATCTGATTGCTAACCAGAAGGCTGGTGGTTCAAACCTACTAGCCACTCCTTGGAAAGAAGACTGGGCAATCTACTTCTGTAGAGATACTGCCTCTGAAACCCAAGGAAGGAAGGTGTCACACTATGAGTCTAATCCACTCTCTGGCAGTGAGTTTAGTTTTTTGTTTTGTTTTGTTTTCTTTCCCTCTAGCATAGGATAAGTTTGCTTGGCAACTCAGAATTTACCATATGTGTTATTTCTTTTTCTTTTATGAATGTGGGCAACTTTACCCAGAAAGGAAAGTAATATTCCTATTTGGCCAAATACATTTTTACTTTTTGTCAATACATATGCAGAAACGCAAGGCACTGCCGTGGAGTTGGACCCAACTCATAGCGACCCCTCCTTGGGCTTCCGAGGCAGTATCACTATGGAAGTAGATTGCCCACCCTTCCTTCTGAGGAGTGGCTGGTGGGTTTGAACCACCAGCCTTCCGGTTAGCAGTCAAATAACTTAGCACATACATTTTTATTGTTGTAATCAGGAATTATATACTGCATTATTTTTTTCCGTTTAGCATTATTTGATTAACATATTTCCATGAATTGACCAAATCTACCAATATATTAATACTTATCCTCTTGATTTGTGAATTTGCTAATTCATATAACTCTTTGGGACATCTGTATAGTTGATGATGATCTCTTTTATAAACAGTGCTATAAAACCACTGATACATGTCATGAAATTAGCTAATTTATAATCGGTAAATTATTCTTTTCAGCTTTTTTATTTTGAAAACCACCCAAAAAAGTGAACACATATTTAACCTTCACTCAAACCAGTACCAGTTGCTATGGAGTTGATTCCAACTCATGGCAACCCCAGGTTTGTCAAAGGAGAACTGTACTCCCATAGTGTTTTCAGTGGCTAAGTTTTTGAAAGTAGATCACCAGACATTTCTTCCAAGACACCTCTGGGTAGCAGACTCAAACCGACAACCTTTCAGTTAGCAGCCATTTGTATCAGCCACAGGCTTGACCATACTCTACCTAGGGACTTAGTAAAGAAAATCCTAGGTGAAGCAAAAGAAGCAACTCAAAAAAAATTTTTTTTAAAAAAGACATGGCTTCCAGTAAGATGGAGGAATAGGCAGACAAGTGACACAGACCCTCTTTGACAAAGAAAAGAAAAACCAATTGACAGAGATACAGAAGATAATCCTGGAGCCCTGAGCTTTGAAAGGAACTATACAGAAGTGGATTAAGCACCAACTGGTGGAAAAACCTGAACGAAAACAGTGAGTACAGAGACGGCTAGAGCTATGGATT